AACACACTTGCTGCGCATTTGAGTAGAAATATACGTCTCCTTCCGTTGGAAATATCTAAATTGATGCATTAAAAAAATGTAATACTGTTGCAAATATTCATGAGATTTATACTGGGGCACAGCTCATTTATACTGGGGCACGTGCCCCAGTAAATGGGGTCTGGCGACGCCGATGGTCCAGAGGACCACCCAGGACATGCTGGAGGGACAATGTCACTTGGCTTGCCTGTGACTGCCTTGAGATTTCAGCAGCAAAGCTGGAGGAGGTATATGCGGAGAGGGAAGTCTTGAAGTCTTTCCTGAGACTTGTGCTTTTGCAACCCTATCCCGGATGAAGTGGAAGACCACAAGAAGAGATGACGCAACAATATTAACAATTCTCAAAGTGTGTACAGAGGGGCAAATTAAGAATTTACTCAGCGGTTGTGCATTTCTCCTACTTAGAAAGTTAAGTCTATACTTTTCATCATAGGTACGCTTTAACTATGAGAGACAAAAATTATGGAATTAGATTTTGGGTTCCAGATTATGGAAGATTAATAATGGTCTTGTATGTCTTCCATTTTCTTTCAATTACTCCCGCAGTTTAATTGTTCTCAGCAGCCTGCTTGCCTATTGTAGATTCACTCTTCCCAGCCTGGTGTAGGTCTACAATTTTCTCCAAATTACCAGTTTGTGACAGGTATCTCACACAAATATATGATACTTTTCTTCCGTCATAATTTACTACAAATAAATTATTTAAATATCCTACCATGGAATTTCCTCGATTTTTTATAACCTGGTCTCTCAGAATTGAAGTCTACCTATGACAAGAATAACAGACTTCCCTTATCTCTAAGTAAGGACAAGTTTCACACTCAGTGGCTTTTTTTGCCCCACTGTATTTGTTAAGGGAAAAGAGCACATGAACAAACATAAAATAGTTAAGAACAATAATCTATTTGTAAAACAACCGACTTCCATTATTACTATGTTCCAGGAAGAGCTGAGAATCTCTTTAGCATATGAAAGGAATCTCTGAAAGTGGCCAGAATACACATGTCAACACATAACAGTTCCATTTAAAGTTGTCCTCAGAGAACATTGAAATCTTTGGTATGCATTCTTTACATTGCTTGTTCCATTGGAGTCTCTTAACAACTGTTGGGAAACAAATGAAAAGGGTAATGTAATCTAAACTTCTTTCTTGTGGACTTAATTATCCAATGCAGTCACAGCTGTGAATCTGCCTAGGATTCAGTGACATTGATTTTATTTTTAGTGTAAAGATATTTCCTTACCTTCTTCACAGTCTGTGAATTTTCCTCTGTGGGTCCTTGTCTCATAATGATAGTAAAAGAGTTAATAACACATGTTCTACGTGGAGAGGGCTGAAGACAAGAGGATCCACACAGCCACAGAGATGTACAAGAAAAAAAATGCAACAAAATAAACATGCATCTAAAAAACATTGATACAGGGAAAGCTTAATTGATTTAATTTCCTTTGTCTCAAACACAGGAAATAATAGTATCCTATTAATTATTAAGTAAGCAAACCGAAAACTAAAAGCGCTTTCACCATATGATCATGGAGATGTCAATTTACTAGAGCAAAGTACAATGTAGGTTAGAAGTTTATATACTGTTATCATTGGCATAAATATAATATGAATATAATTTCTTTGAACTCAGTTTGTTTCTCAGGGTATAATGATATATTTAAAATAATGTGGTAAATGTTATCTATATTATATAATATAATATTATATTATAATTATATTATATTATACACTATAACACCCCAAAGAACCACAGTAGCTAAGGCCCGACATGACCCCGAAACTACTGGAAGAACAGAGTAACTGTCCTTATCAGAGCAAGTTTTCATCTGAATGGTCTGAGAAGAAGCTGGCCATAAATAATGCTGCTTCAAAACAAAATCTTTAAATCCTGACTGATATTTAGAAATACTCATGTGAACTAGCACCCTCCTCCCAGAATAACAGCTTAAAGTTGGATATAACTGGATGTTCCAACAGGTCAGCTAAATACTGTATACTTTTATATGCATTTAATGCATTAGGTCAAATGCACCAATAAAAATCCATTAAAACTTCATATTTGTGCCAATGAACTTTATATTGCTATTATAGACTCAATCTTGCATTTGGAACCAAATAAACATCCAGAGTCATGTACAGACTTAATGATACCATACCAAATGAATAAATAGTGTTGCATATAAGAACCTAAGATATAGAGATGGACAAGAAATTGATTGCTTCTTACCTCGCCGCCAAGCAACGCCTCTGTCAGTTTTTCACTATTGAATCCTTGAATCAGTGTATTTTATCCATAGGAAGGACCTGACACGCCATATTTGAGTAATAAAAGTGAGTAATAAAAGCCCTCTCACTCCTGACATTCCTTTTTGATTCATTTCAACTCAAACTGATGCTCTCTGATGAAGAAAACGATAAGGGCTAAAGGTTCAAGTGTATTTATCACCTCTTCAGCTATCAACATTCCTGTCTTTGCAGAGAGAAAAGACAGTTTCAAGTTCACCCCATGTTATTTTCATCATATTCAATTTGTCATGCAGAGCAGTGAAAGTTGAATATGAGTATGCATCCTTGATTCTGAGAAAAGACTGAGAGGATCCTATGACTGTAGTGAGATCCACAGAGATGTGCCTCCCCCTGACACATAAAATAAACACAGTTATAACTGACATTCCAGTCTAAGAAAGGAGGGTGACCCAGGGCAGATCATCGTTTGAGGATTGCTGCCATTCCTCACAGGCTCCATCTGAAGTCAGTGTTTAGAATCCTGATCTGTTAGTTGTCTGCATGTTGGAATAATTTTTTCACATTTTACTATGTGCCAACTACACGTGTTAATGGGTCATATTGGGCATTTATGTAATAGGCCAAAATGAAATAGAGCATTTTGATGAATCTTAAGAATTGTCCATATATTCTTTATTTTTAGAAGAGTTACATTAATCTTCCATGAAAAGAACAGCTGTCAGTTTTTTTTTCTACCAGCCTTGCTTTCCTTGGAACACTGGAAGTTCTGTCCACTTTGCCTCCAGTATTTAATTGGATTTACCTTGGACTTTGACAAACATTATAGGTTTGGTTGCATGTCTTGTTGCTATCCTGGAAGATGAACCTCTAGTACGGTCTTAAATTATTTAGAATTGTTGACAACTCATCTTGTTTTTTGGTATATCCATCTTACAACTTTGAACAGATTAAAATACCAAAAGTATCACCCCAGCATGACACTTCCAAACATGTACTGTGGGAATAAACTGTTTAAACTGTTTATCCAGCACATTTTTACATCTAGAAAGTTGCACTTGGTGGGACATCTTGTTTTGAGAATATATATGATTTCAAGAAGTCTTACCAAGTGCAATTCTGTTACTGCACTGGCAGATTATAGATAAATAATCTAACAGAATCCTATCTTGTTTAGTATATCAATCTCAAAATAATTTTAATCAAAACATTTTGGCCAAGAGGTAAGAATTGGTTCGAAGGGCAATTTTTGCCCACTGTGATTGTTAGGAGTGGTCTTCCATTAGGGTTATCAAAATTCCTGTAATTTTGTCATTTGGCAGAACCAGGAAAAAGTCTAACACGGAGTTCATCACCAAATTTGGAGCTGACTGTTGTTCTGCCATCACTCCATTCCTTCATTTTTCACAGATTTGCTTAAGAATATGGGCTCTGATTGTTAAGAAAATGCTAATATTTATAATATTATTAATGACATATAATATTTATTCAGTTTAGAGGCCTTTCACATTTAAAAGATCCCTACATCAAACTTAAAGGCCAAAGAAACAAACAAATAAATAAATAAGCTAAAATTATTCATCTTATTTCACAAGATAGACCAAACATTAGTGTTAAAACACATTGCTGAGAAAATTTAACAGATCTTTAGAAAAACTTAAGAAGTGTTCATCAGCTTCAAACTATTTTATGTTCAGATCATTGGATGCAAAACAAAAAAAGCATTCAACACAATACTGTTTCCCAGAGAGCCAAAATCCTGTAAACTGTTCAAATAGAACAAAGGTTCAACAAACAAGTGAGGCAGTCACTCAATGTGCAGCTATGTTACTGTGGGAAGGTTGTGGGGTAAAAAAAAAAGAAGTACTTTCCCACTTGTTTATCTGTCTCCTGCAGGAATAAGAACTCTGTGACTCTTTAGTGAACCAGCAGCACCCCAACCCCATGTACCGTATGCATGTGTTTGTGTGTATGCAGCGAAGACACTACAGCCACGGTTTGGTTTGGAAATGCTAAGCCCAAGGAAGGAAGCTCATCCGCTGGGGAGTAACTTTTAGGAGTCAAGGATCTGGAGGTCACTTGAGACAAGCCAGTTAAATTCAACACCCAGTGGTGGAGAATCGCACGGAAGAATGAGCAGAATCTCAAAGCAAACAGGCATTCCTCAAGACTTTTTAAACATTTGCTTCTTGAGATCATCAATCATATTCATCAGGGGAAAAAACATTAGGTTGCCAGGGGTGCTTTGTGCACAATAAATCTCTGCAACAGCTGCAATAAGAGTTCATTGCATCAAATAAAAAGTAAAACTGGAAACAAAGAGATAAACATTTATGTTGTGATACTTAAAAAGATAAGGCCAGCATACATATGATTTGCAAGTATAATGGTTGTTATTCTTATTCAATAAGTTAACCTGACTTTAAGATCACAAATGAGAAATTATAGATGATTGCAGAAATTTTGTTTGGGTGCTGCCACCTAGTGTTCGTCTCACATTGTCTGGCTTAGTTCAATTTCTAATACACAACCACTAAAATAAAAAGTAATGCCTTTGCAATAAAAACATTGAAAAGTAACATTTTTCTGCATATCATTTAACCTATAAACAATTGCTACGGGATAAATATCACCAAGTGAGTAACAGATGTGCAGAATGACAATTAGATTTTCTTTAATAAAAATTGAAAAAACATTGGCTCTTTTCTCATTTTGCTTCATTTTCTTTATTTATTATTTTGTTTATCAACAAAATTACATAAAAAATACAAAAGTGCAACAACAGAAAGTGTAAAAATGTAGTACTTGGAAAAAGTACAGTTCTAGAGCGGTAATATCCATCTGATTTAAAAATCTGTTTTATGTCACCAAGTGACTTCTAAGAAATTTTCCTCATTGGAAAAAAAAAAAAAAAGTTTGACTGGTGTTACAAAAATTACTCCATAAATCGCTGTAGATATTTTTATACCATACACCATCAGAATTAGCAACAGCCTCTTTTTTTTTTCTTTACCAAGGTGTGGATTATTGTGTATAACAAACTGAGAGAAGAATAATTCTGCTCAGTGGTGTTTGTTTGTTATCTCTAAGGCCACTGGGAGAGAGAAAAAGGTCAGAACTGGTGCAAATTGACACAAATGCGCAGGTTTTAAAAAATATACTCAAACATCTCAGAAAGGTTGTCAGAAAGTCATTGCTGAGAGGGAAGGAAAGATTATATTAAAATAAAAAGAGGTATTCATATGAGTTCTTACATTTGTTACAGCTTGACTATCTTTGGTGTTTTTACAAAACAAAACAATTTAACCTGAAAATATTATAGCCATGTTTAAATCTTAGACTGAGTCTTTGGCAGATAATATCCCTAACTTAGTGAATCAGTGTTTATTAAAGGGAACTTGGGCTTAAAGCAGTCAAAAATTTTAAAGTAGGAGTACCTCCATTGTGCCATGGCCAAGCCCTCCTCTTTAGCTGTGTTTGTATAATGTAGTCAAAACATTCTTCTTATTGCATAACTGTTTCTGCTTTTGTTTATATTCTACGAACAAATTTTATTCAAGATTATAAGAATGATTTTTAAGAAATTATATATTTATGAAAATTTAAGAAACCTCTTTTTCACCCATAGAAATTTCACTAATTCCAAACTCTTCATGCTTCCATAATCACTGAAACAAATTCAGTCCCCATATTTTGTGCATTTTATGTTTGTCTTTATCAAGGAGATTTTGGATGTAAATAATAAAATAATTGAAAATGCTCTTTTGTATTTTGTTAAAATAGAATAAAGGTTTATCAAACCTTAAACTAATTTTAGGCAACCATTATTCAGTCCTGAATAATCCACCTGCAGATTGATGTCTAAGTACTTTTTATGTAAAATAAACCAAACAAATAGAAAAACATGAAAAAAGATGTTACTGGATTGAACAGCCTCTTCGGGGATGAGCAATATAGCGCCTGTATCCAAAGTCACTGCTGGTTACATATTAAGTTTTTTCTAATTGCAGAAATTTACATCTCCTACATCTAAGAGAGAAAAAATGGAACCCTTAATTTGCAACAGTAGTTTAAGTACCTTTACTTCAGCTTTGAACATGTGTGTGTGTTTGTGCATGTGTGATGTAGCCTTATCAAAAAATAAAGCGCACATTGATCTGGCTCAGCAGTATCGAGATATGTTTGTGCTAGAGCTGCGTCAAATGCAGAAATAACAATAACAAAAAAAGAAGAACATAAGTAACCTTTTGAGATGGAGTAGAAACAAAAAAACAATAGTACCGGAAATATATGAAAAAGGTTAGATAAACTGAGCTGTCAACAACAACTAATTCAAAAAGGAATGCTTGAAAATGGCAAATGCATCTTGAAAACCATGCATGTGAGGAGCAATACTCTCAGAATTATATATCCAAATCTTTTCTAGACAATGAAGAAGCTGAGGTATTCCTTAAATCAGTTCATTAGACCTTTGAATTTCTCTATTCTGATGTTAAGACAACTTTTAAAACAGTAAAATACTTAAAAGAACAAGGTGAATCCAGTGTCAAGCTAGTGCTGTACAAGTGTCCCATTTCAATGCTCCATCAATTACTTTAGAAACCCTTAAACATTGGACATTCATCAATCGAAAAGTTCTGTTGGGAGTTAGTTTGTTCTGGGCCTGACCTGAAGGGTGCAGGCATGGTTTTAAAGTGGTGTTTCCTTTGCATCCAACAAAGTACGCTGGAAGCTCAAGATCTCTGTGAAGGCACAACCTGTAGAAAGAAGCAAAACAGGGATTTATTCAGTTAATCATGTTTACCACCTAAAGTCCCCGGGATTGCTCTAAAAATACATCCTACAAACAATTTTTCTATTGCCCAAATAAGTTTGAATAGAATGAAGCCTTTAATAGCCTCCCTCCTCTCCTCATTCTTACGTTTCCACTGGTCCAAAGTCAAGTCCTTGTCATCAAGTGAGTTGTCATATGGCTGAGCCTCAGTCTCTTCTGTTGGTTCCCTAAATACAGCAAAGTAAGGCAGGGAGACGGCCTCCACAGCAGTCACTCTCTCCTCAGGATCTAGCAGAAGCATGTGCTCCAACACAGAGACGGCTAAGAAAACAAGGAAAAATACAGAGATGGTTCAATATGTAAACAAAAGGGTAAGTTTAACCACAACAGAAAGGTTTTGAATATTTATCGAAAATGATAACCTGTACCTTGGGAACTAGCTGAGGGAAACATTGTCTTAAGGTCTTTCTTTTCCATTTTTTGAAGACTTTTTAGATAACCTTTAGCCTAAAAGTAAACATATAAATAGGTCAGTTCGAACATTCTTACACAATGCAATACATTAGACAGTGCCAGTTAAATGTTTCCATAATATCATTAATACATCGATCAGTATAATACAAGAACTAGGTGCACAGGTTGAATTTTATGGAGGATTTTCCCTAATCCTGACATGATAAAAATGAATCATAAATAAAGAAACCACGACAATGTTTTCAGATGCTTTGAGAAGTTTCCCCTTGAACTCTTACTTTTAGCAGCCTTGAACATACTTGTGGCTCAGATACTTTAACAATCTTCCAATAATTTTTTTTTTTTTAATGAGATAAAAGCAGATTTTAAAGCATAGTTCAGAACTGTATGTTAGTGATGTTGGGGCTTTTGAAAGACTATTCTAGAAACCTGATTTGATTACATCAAAACCACTTTAACTATTTTTACATGGCATTCAAATGTGTCCAAATTTTTAACTTTTGTTCTGGGAATCTAGGGATTTAGGGAAGTATGATGCCAAAACTTGAGTCAAATCTAAATAGGTTTATTTTGGAGCAGGGGCTCATTCCATAGTTGGGTACTCTTCTTAGTTTATGTAAAATGTGCATCTCTGCAGACAGGAAGAACCGATTAAACTACTGATTTGTGGTTCAGATCTAATCAGTCTGAAACAGTGTGATCCCTTTGGATCAGATTCTTAAACCTTGAACAAAGCTGGGTAATCCACCAGAGCCTTGATTCCAGTGATTAAATCAGGTTGACTAAAGTTTTTATGGTGGCTTCAGTGGCATGCTGTGGAGCTCTTTGACCAACAGTAATGGAGCTTTATCACAGCCAATAAAATAACGACAAAAGAGAATCACTTCCAGATCTGTACGCATCACATCACCATGGAGAATTTTAATTAATTGAAGTAATTAGTTCCTTTAATCATTTAGAAATTAAGCTCTTATTGACTGTATTTAAACATTTCACCGACACTGTGAAAATAAAAATGCTTTGAAGTCTATGGGTAAAAATATATCTCAAAACAAAGTCCACATATGACACTATTTTCCAAAATGGTAATATCACATGTTTATAAAACTTTGTTCTTAAATGTGAACTCACGTCCTCAGAGTCTAGTTTTGATATAAACTCTGGACTGGGTGTTCCTGTGACCTTCAAGATCTGATTCAACTGATCTAGGTCTAAGGAGATTATATTAAGGTTCAAACTTGAAACAGCAAAGTGAGTACAAACTGATCACAGGAAAGAAAAGAAAAGCCTCTGCATGGAATAAAAGATTGATAAGGATACGGTCGCTGCCTTTAAAAAGCGGTTTTCCTTGTAGCATCTCTGCCATGATGCAGCCCACAGACCAAATATCCACTGTGAAACAGAAAACAGCACAGATAAAGACACAGTATGATAACATTGAAGGTCCTCTATCTGCAAGCTGAGATTAAAGCATTTGAAATGGAATGAATAATTCAAGATGTTAAGGTAGCTCCACCTAGTGGATAAAGGCTGTATTGAGTAATGGTGCTGTTATGAAGTAAAAGGCGCATTATTCTTTGTTTAAAATCTATCTATACCATAAAGTAGCACAAAGAGCACATTTTAAACTCACATCCATCAACAAAAAATTATCAATATCAATGATATCACAATTATGATTTTAGGATAAAGCAAATATTTCTCCCTAATTTAAGATTTTTTTTTTTTCAAAAAACAAATCTAGTGTTTTCTCAAAAGTAGAATCCCTAAACAGGTGAAGGTTCATACACAGAAGAAACAGGTTCAAATCAAATACATTTTGCTCTAGTAGAATTATTAAAAATGACAGACTAATAAGAGAGGCCATTATCAGGGTGCTGCTCCCGAGATTTACCGGTCTGTGTGTAGTGCATCCAGTTGAGGATGACCTCCGGGGCTCTGTACCAGCGAGTCACCACATATCCTGTCATCTCAGTGTCCGCCTGCCGAGCTAAACCAAAATCCAAGATCTAACAGAACAGGAAGGGCGACAATGAAAGGTTTATGAGCCTCTGTGTTTCTATAAACAGATAGACAAAATGTAATTACAAAAAAGGGTTCAAACAGATACAGATGACGGCCCCTTCAGTGAAATGTGCAAAAAGCAATTCAGGAAAAGGACCTCTACCTCCATTACTGTTGTCTATCCTAACAAACCCTTAAAACAAAGGGAAGTGCAGCATTGTGGAGAAGTCTTAAAGGGGTCATAGAATGCAAAGCCAAGTTTACATTGTCATAGATGAATCACGACAGTTCAGTGAGTGAAATGGATGTAAAGAGAAGTTCAAACCCCATCGACACCACCTTTCTTTGCAAATCTCACAATTCTAAACTTTCGACAGAAACCGGGCGAATTCAAACGAAGCCCAGAGTTGACGTAAAATCTGGTGTGAAAAAGCAGGACATGGCCAGAAAGAAATGTTTCAGTGAGTGAGTGCTTGTTGCTATGATGCATCTTTGCTCAGCAGATTCGCTCGTTGTAAACCAACCAATCAGCTCATCTAAATATTCATGAGCATACCATAAAAGGAAGAAAACCTGTTGTTTTATTCTGGGGCTTTTAACAAGGCTTGCGTTAGGGCTCATAGAACAGAAAATATGCAATTTTCAGAGCAAACAATGTTGCACACCCTATTCAGAGACCTTAAGGACCAGCACCAAATACCCTATATAATCATTCTATGACCCCTTTAAGGTTTTGATTAGTAATGTTAAAAATTACTTTGTTAAAAACTAGTTTCTTGGGTAGAAACATGACAGGATGCAATGAAGGTGTTTTTGTTTTGTTTTCCAGCCTCTTTAGCATGGACTCTATTCCTTGAGAACCTGTTCTTCAAGTAAGACAAATGAGAGCTGGTCTTTAGGCAGGAAATAGTCGAATGGAAATAGCTCTTAAGCAAAACTTCCCATATTTACTGTCAGCATAGCAATTGAAAGGTTTGCTTCAGTTTTAACTGGTACAAAGCAAAAGAGTACAGGAGTAAAAAAGGTGGGATTTGCTGCTGTATACTGAACTGATTGGAGCAGTTAGACTTGGATCTAAAGGTGGAGTTTTCATGGTCTGTTTCGTGTCAAAAACAGTGACAGCTAATGGAATTGATCCTGGGGGTGCTATAAATTCAAAATAGTTGTTTACCAAAGACCAATCAAACTAAGTTATCAAACCAGTATATTTATATGAATGCCAACAACAAAAAAACTACATTTTAAAACATTATAAAAACAAAACATAATTTCATGTAAAGGTTTTCATTTTGTACATAAATTTTGCCTTTCTGAGGCTTTAGGAAGGGAAATCTGTGGTTTGCATGCTCGAATATTGTGTCACAGACCTGAAAAAATAATGTACCAGTTTAATAACGGAGAAACTATCTGTCAGCTTTATATTTTTTGATATATAAAAACTGTTTATTTTCTGAGAATGTGATAATTTAAGATCAACTATGCAAATTAACAAACTACTAAAAGTACACTATATTATATTATTTTCCATGTGAATCCCAGATTGTTCATTCTTCTTTGCCTTTGCTAAAAAGTGCTTTAAATCATTTCTACCCGTCTTTATCCATGCTGGGTCAGATCCTGACATTTGAAAAAGGAGGCAGTCAAGGCAGCAGAATAAAGCCTTAGCCTCGCTGCATTCAGTTAGCAAAAGCCTTGTAGCAAAACTAGGTTCTGGAAAAAGACCAAGCGTGTACCATCTCCATCTGTCTTTGGATTGCTGTAAATTTTGATGTTTGGTTGATCAGGTCCAAACGCTTTACCCTCAAGCTTCTCTTGGTAAGTTTGCGTTAAGGGACTTCACTTCCGGGACTCAACCTGTCAATCAGCCGCACTACCACTGTAACGACAATTCCTGTCAGATGGGGGGAGCTCGGGCCACAGGAGAGCTGCGCCCTCTCCTATCCTTTTGCATTGCAGAGTCAATGGCCAAAGATTTTGGCACCCCAGGGCGGAAATACGTAATAATACGGAATAATAATATTATTTATTTTTTAAGCAGGCATCTTTGTAAACTTTCCAGATTACAATAAAGCAAAGTGTCCCTCTCTAATACGGAAATACTCATCATTAAAGATTAAATACTTATCTTGCACATCTAAAAACATATATGATTATACTTCTAAATATTTTCATTTCATAATGTTTTTTTATGTCTTAATCGAGGTCATTGGGTGGGAGGGGTGGCGTCCTAGCACCCTCTATTGGCCAGCTGCCACTGGTTAAAAAAAAAAAGAGCAAAGGTTGAAAAAGAAATTCGTTGGTCACTGCTGAGTATAATACAGACTCTGATGCGCTGTTTCTCCTACAAAAGCCACAGGAACCGTTTTAGACTCCACTGCTGCTTGAACTCTTTAAAAGACCAGGAACTTTTAAATGAAAATCAGATGTACTACACCAGTGAACTAAAATTATATTTGTCAGTAGAATAATGATTTGAAATGTGGGGTAAAATGATAGAGAAAAAAGGGCTCATCAGGTATAATTTGGGCATCTTAGTCCACAAAATTAAATCTTACAGAAAACTTGGGTGATGAGCTAAAGCAAAACATACAATACTATAGAACTGAGTCTAGATATTCCCAACAGATGGTGTAAATGAGATTGGCAAATATTTTTGCTTAAAAAAACATTGACAGTAAGGGAAAACCCGGGTTAATTAAGTCACCTGTTATTTTGTTATTAACATTTATGTCTTTATGTACAATTTTTCTACAAGTAAATGACTGTTACCACTGTAAATGTTGCCGTTTTTGGTAAAACTGAATATTATTTTCCAGCAATTAAATGTGACTTTGCATTTTTTGTTTATAAATGGTTGAGTGATTTGTTTTAACCACAGTGATGGAAATAGCAGTACCTTAAGCTCACAGTCTTGGTTGACAACAAGATTTCCTGGCTTGAGATCCTGAAAAAGTTTAAATAAGTAAAGAAAAACACGTTAGAAACTCAGAGAAAAGAAGGATATGACTACTTCAAATTCCTCATGGATATTATAAAATAAACTCACTCTGTGGATTATACCAGCAGAATGAATATACTGAAAGAGAGAAACAGAGAGTGAGTTTAATCAATTGAAACATTAAGGAAAAATTTTTTGGACAGCATCAAACCTTTAATCCTTTGAGGGTCTGATAAACCAAACACTGGATTTTTTCTTCTGATAATCTGGTCTTTTTCATCAGCTTCCCCAAATCTGTTCCCATGAACGGCATCACCAGACAGCTTGAAAGGCAGGAACAGATTGCAATTATCATTGTAAGGCACACTGTTGTGTACAAGCGGAGATGTTTACAGGGGCGTCATGATGAGAGAAATAAATGCATGCTTACAAATCTTTGAATCTGTCCAGAGAATGGTCTGCAGTAAACACATCTAGAAGACCAATCACCTGCATGCAATGGAAATATATTACACTCTGCGTTCTTTCATTTACCTCATCAAGTATCGAACGCTGCAATGTTCAGAGCCACCCTAAGATTTTATGTTCCTGAGAGCTCACCTCTGTTTAAACCACCAGTTAAGCCACTGATCTCAATTTTTTTTCAACTCTGTATGAATGAAACTGACCACAAAAACATCTGCATAAACCTGAATGTCAACAAGTTAACTAATGGAAATTATTCAGTTTAAAGAGTAAAACTGATACAAAAAATTTAGAATGCATATATTTCTGCTAAAACAAATAACAGAAACCTGAAACAATTTTTTGTTGAAATGAATTACATTACCAAGAAAATATATATATATATTTTAACTTAATTGTGATAGTAAAAAAGCAGGGAAGACTGCTGAGTTTACAGCTGTCCAGCAGATAGTCTCTGACAGGACTGCGACACATAAGCAATTCAAGAGTTTGGAGGAGATTTATAATATATAGAACATAGTTAAGCATTAAGCTAGGCTGACAAACTTTACAGGGATTCCAATTCATTTTGCCTCAGGGGCCACGGTATCATCGGACCTGAAATCAAATGCAGAAGTTGTGGGTTTTGACAAGGGGAAAGTGAGAGATACACTGCAATGATGCAAGCCTCGGCTTCCTACACCTCATCGATGGCTCAGGCTGATCGCCTGCGTCATACTGTACAGGTACAGTCATTTCATCACAGTCCACACCTTCTTTATCTCCAGCAAAGTCTTGGACTTCACCTTCCCTGCTTTCGATCATTTTATTCTTGCACTAAACTTCAGTCAATACGTTTGGATACAGCATTGTTTGAGAGCAGTCAAACGGTTTTTTTTTTTAAGACTTAGAAAAACTATTGTCATTATCAGTCAATATCTTTAATATTTTTGTGATATTACCTAAATGTGGAGAATGTTAGTGACTGTGGTTTTTTTAAGTCGACAACTTTAAAAACGTTTTTATAATTTAAGTTTTTTACCATCACTTTTTTTTAAGATAATGGATCTTGGAATCTTACTAAAATAACATGGATTCGGTCCAAAGGTTTAAAAATATATATATATAACAGAATACTGAAATAAACTTTTAGTTGAGATTCTAATTCCTGACATGCATCCATATGAAGCTGCTCTGATCAGAAGGACGCATTGTTTATGTTGTGCCTCACGTTTTCATGTCTCATATGTTTGAGAAGCTTCAGCTCCCTGTAGGCCCGCTTTGCGAACACCTCAGACTGGAATGGTCTGTAGAGCTTCTTGATGGCCACTTTGGTCCCTGTTTTGGAGTCCAGCGCGGAGCTGCAGGAAGGAGCGCAGAAATTCATTACCTGATAACCTGCAGTATTTGAAGCAAGATGAACAAGCAGTTAGGTTACATAGGAACTTCACTTTGATACGGGAACAAGGCAGAACAAGCCATGCACAGACTTGATTGTGTAACTGGAGTTTTTTTTTTTTTTTTTTAAACAGGCATTTGTATAAACTTTCCAGATCACAATAAAGCAAAGTGCCCCTCTCTAAAGGCTGTCAGAATGGCTGCCCACAATGCGTCGCGGTGTCGATGAGCGTCTTCTTCATCATCATCATCATCATCATCACCATCATATGAGGAAGTGGATCAGCGTGAGATCAACCAAGCGTGGACACTTTTTCCTTTTGTTTGGCTGTTAACTGAGTGTCTGCTTGGACAGGCACCATCTGTCCACTGACGCTCTTTGTTACCCCCCTCCTCCTCCTCATAACAATCAAAGATCGTCTTTCACTCCACTTTACTTACCACACAGTTCCGTATGCTCCGGTCCCCACCTGGACTAGGTCGCGGTACCGCTCCGGTACTTCCCAGATGCTTTTGTTTATTTCCTGCCGATAAAATCCAGGTCTGACCCGCTTTGCCATGATGAATGCGGAATATATCGGTTCAGACGTGTGACATAAAAGCTTCCCTGTGATCTCTTTGTCTTCCGGCGCTGCGCACTCATCTGTTCTCGATTCCACCTATGCGCTCAGTGCAGTTCAGGGCGCACCCTCAGGTCGCCAAAAAAAAAAAAAAAAAAAAAAAAAACACTCCTGACTAATACCCGGAGCTCAATAATTAAAGGTGAAGAACAGTGGTGAGTGAAAGGCAGGTGTCAATTTTAAAACTCACTCATGCGCACAGGTTGGATGAAAACCTGAAGCTGCGTTATAGCTGCAGGATTCCTCAGTAATTATTTGAAGACGTGTTGGAACATGAACGTAATAACTATGAGGTTATTTCAGGCAAGGCTGACACCCAAACTGGTACTGCCTTGCAAAGGCATTCACACGTAACATTTCAAGGGGGTTAGGAAGATTCCAAGGGCCCTAGACTGATGGGGCCCCAAAATAAGAAAAGATTTGTCCTGCTATATTTTTCATATATAAAAAGAAAATCCAGCAGTGGAATAAATTATCTTTTTGTTCTCCCTCAATTTTCAACAGTAAACAGAAAAACACATTCTGAATATATTGAGTATATGAAGTTTTTATAACATTAAAATATTATCATACCATAAATATATTTTATGCCATTGAAAGACATCTATAAATCTTTGTCATTCTCATGATCATTTAATGAAAATTTCGCCGGGGCAGCATAAAAATGATCGGTCCTTTAATGAAATTATAGTGAAACCTAATGGGAATATATTTTTACAATCCAAAACCTCATTTCTATTCATGTGTACATAGATAAGGCTGTGCTTTTTGTAAAAAAAAAAAAAAAAAAGCTGTTATTTTTGATAGATAGGATGTAAACGTATCGTTTAAAGACAGAGGTAGATCCTGTAGATCACATTTGACCTCATAATCCCTCCTTGGTCTTCAGCAAAGTGGTGTTTATATCCAAATGACTAAAAATAGCCACTTGGACAATAAAGGAATAAATAAACAGGAAGATGGGTCCATATTTATAAAAATAAAAGCACAAAATCTAAAAGCAGGATTAAAAATAGCATAATGTAGATGCATTTGAGCAGCATCCCGACCGCCGGTTAGAAAAAAAAAAAAGATTTTCATTGAATTATTTCAGGTAAAAAGTAAATTCTACATATTATACAGTTGGTAAGATGGCCTCAAATCCTGGGTGACTGCCCTAATTAAAGTCAGTGCAGCTGACTTTAATAAGGGGTATCAAAGGGTATCAAAGAAGAGAGTGATTATGCACAATACACTTCTCATTATTGAAAAAAAAAACATTTTTTATTGAGATTTAAAAGTTTCTGTGTTCAAATGTGACTTAAAATTTAAGGCTAAAATCTATCAGTCTACTAAAAGCTGTTTAGTAACAACTGGTTCTAACAGATGAAGAGCTTAATTCTACATGTTATTTACATATGGACAAAAATTACATTTTCTATTACATCTTATTTTGTGTAGCAAACATGGGTATTCACTATAAGTAAACAGTTACATCCAGGTTTGATATTCATTATTGAAACTTGCCTGAGTGAAGAAATTAAGAAAAAGAAAATAATAGTCTGAGCCCCATTGGTGGAAAATAAGTTCTTTAAAGATTTAGTTGTGCGTGTTTCTTTCCACTGCAAACACTCCCTTTTAAACTTACAGTCTGCATATTTGGTGTACATTAGAAGTGACAACCCACAGTTTGTCAGAGGCAGGCAGGTCACCTTGGGACTTGTTGCCTGAATCATCATAAATAGCAGAAGTGACACTGAACAGATAAGGTGGAGGTGAGCCAAGTTTGGTTTCTGTAAAGTTGAAAATCCCTTCAAACAAATGCATTCGAAAGACTTTTCCTTCTGGAACCTTCAGATCCATGATTGAATCTGAACATGTCTTTTTATCTTCATTATTAAATGTTTTAAAATAAAAACAGAGCACTTTAAATTTGGAAACTGTAAGCAATGGAAGAAGCGAGTCATCTCTTAACCCCTATCTGTTTTGTGTCATCGTGCTAATCTGTGAAGGGTCACTACTCCCTCAATGCTGCCCTGCCAGAGCTAAACAAAAAAGAAAGTTGGACATTGACTAAATCAGGAGAGGGACATAAAAGTTAAGAGATAAATCAATCAACAACTTCCAACTTTTTTGTTCTTTCAGGCATGGCAGCAATAAGGAAGCGTTTACGAAGATCATGTGACGCAGATTTGGCGTGCCCATGCTGGGGGCTTGCTGTCATATGGCACAGGGTCTATAGCTGTTGGTGATGCAGAGGCTCCCTGCTGCTGCTGCTCCTCTCCTTCATCCCTTTCCCCCTGCGTGGTGCTCCCATGCGAACCCACCCACGCAGGAAGCTCCAGGCCTGGTTGAGAAGAGAATGGTTTCTCAAGGACCTTGAGGACCCGTTGGACCTGCAGAATGACAAAGTGGTCAAAGAGAGATGAGAAAAGCTGTTTTCAGGGCACAAAGGAAAAAAAAAAAAAAAAAAAAAAAAAAGTCATGATGTGTATCCTGACCTCAGAAAAGTCCCCATTCTCTGCAGCCTCTATTGCATTCTGGGCAATGTAGTTTCTGAGCACCACACGAGGGTTAGTGCTGTTCATCACCCTCACCCTCTCTTCCTGTACAGCCAACGCGTCACTCTGACCCTCCAGCTCAAGAGCCAGGCGTTTCCTGTGCAGTGATAACATGAAAACACTTGTGAAATAAAGCATTGGGACATTATCCACCAGAAAACCCCATTTCCTCCCATTTCTGTCTGTCCGCCCCTTTTATCAGTTAGACTTCCACCAGAATGATAACGATCCCACTCGGTCTATAGTCAGCCTCTTCCAAATTAGTCCTTTTCCTGTTTAGTTTTGCAAAGAAAGTCGCTTACCTATAGAGTTTAATCCAGGAAGTCCACTCCTGAGCTTGCCTGCCTCTCAGCTCCTCCTGACTCGTCTCCATCAGGACTTTCAGTTTGCTCATTCTGTCCAGCTGCTTTGCTATGGTCGCCCTGTCTGAGATCATCTCAAACAGAGCGGGGTTGCTCTCAGCCATAGAGAGCAGCATTGCCAACTCACTGTCAACAAAAAGATAAAGGATGCTTAACTATTAAAATACAGGCAATAACTGTCTTTAAGAAAAAAATAAAGAGATACTCTATGTGTTTAATGTCAGGCAGGTTCTCTGGCCAGTCAGGAAAAGTGTCATCATTATCATTAAAACCAGGTGTTTGCATCTTCAGCAGTATGAGCAGATAAAAGTAATGTTTTAAGCCACAACGGCCCTCTAGAGTCAGAAATAAGCACTACATTTAACAAAATAAGTCTACAGTCAATCATAAAATCAATACCTTTCCCTTCCTTTTAATTTTATGGAACCTAGCCAGTATGCTATGATTGTGCCAAAATAGCAGTGCTAAAAGAGGCACCTGTCCATCTTTCAGCTCATAGTTTGACCATACAAGGTCAGAGGAAATAGACTTAGCATAGTAAACATGAACTGCTTCTCAATTTAGCAGTTTTGTAGTTTTTTCCTCCAAAATAAATTCTTCATCTAATCATATTTGAAACATGTGGGTCACCATCTAGAACCCATCGCCTCACTCCCCTGACCTATGTAACTATTTCAGCCATCCCAGAAATGAGACGACCACTAGAAAGCCAGAATCTGTTAAAAAAAGGAAAGAAAAGAAGAGCCCATGTAAAGTTAACATGTTGAAGCAACATCTCAGATCTTACTAGGTCTGATTTATTTGGGATAAAACAAAGTAAATCTGACATTTCCTTAAGTCTATACAGGCCCTATCAGGTACATTTATTTTTGGTCTTACGATGGAAAATTTCTACCCATTTCATTTGTCTGACTGATACCATTATCCTTGCTCATTATCTAAATAGCTCACCGGGGATCCATTGTGGGAGTGTTTGCTGACTTTAGCTCGTCTAAAGAGGCACACTGCTCAAGAAGGAGTTCTGTGGCTTTCTTAATCTCCTCATCTTGCTCCGTTTCTCCCTCTGGTGAACAGGAAATCTGAGCTAAGCTGCGGAAGGTGTTCGTAAAGTCAGCACCTAGATGAGCAAATGGAAAGTTAATGAATTAAGTTAATTTGAGTTAATGCTCTTTTCTTGAGATGCAAAACACATTAAAGGTCCCAAACCGCAGCCCAACCTGTATCATGCATAGTGCGTAGCAGCTCTGTGATCAGGATTTCATCCTCAGACTCCTCCTTTTTAAGCAAGCCTAGTTTTTTCCTCATGTTTTCCAGGTAGTAGCGATTGAACTGATCCAGGTATTCATCTATCACTGCCTTAGCCCGATCCGTTGGCAGCTCTGGAGCCAGAGCCTCTGCCAGCTTCACCAGGTTCCACCTGCAGATAGCCGGCTGGGCCTTGTATGAATATCGGCCAGAGTTGTCTGATGCATTGCAAATAAAATCCGGATCAAACCTGAAATGAACAGAGAAATCCTGAAACAACTGATGTAGATTACACATGATCACTATTTATTACATGTTTGACTGATCATACAGTTAAGGATGCTATATAAGCAGTGAGAACCACATACAATGCTAGTTAAAAGTTGAATGAGGAAATAATAATAGAAGTCCCTGCTTCAACTCAGCACAACTAATAATCTACAGTTGCACACATGGACAAGAAAAATACAATTTAAGGTAATGTTTTACTTCTAAATGGGGGCAAAGATTAGGCTATCAGGCCATAAAGAGATTAATAAAAGGAGTCAAGCGGAAGCTTCTAAAGCCAAGAACATTGAACCGTCTGGCATAATGAAGGTAGTGCATGTTGAGTCTGTTTAGCTGCCAATAGTCCTGGTAAATTGTATAAAATCGATAGAATAATGAAGCACTACTTATACATTATTGAAGATTAACCATAAAAGAAACAGAACATCTAGAAAAATATATCAGAAGGTTCAAACTCGAATATATTTACGTGTAAGAAGAGGTTAATGCAAATAAAGTCTGGTTTGAGAATTGAAAAAACTGAGGTTTCTTCTCTCTAATCTAATTAAGGGACATTATAGAAGACACTTTTGTGTATCCACAGAACAGGATGAAATGAAGACCACAAGACCAGAGGCCTGTACAACGAATCGAGCTAAACGTAG